AGAAACAATCTTCCAGAAGAAAAAATAGTTAAAAGTCTTGAAGATAAAAGCACAGGCAAAGACTTTCTTACAGAACCCCAACTGCACAAAAAATAATGTCGATTCAACCAATAAGATCATATCAAATTTAAAAGCCTCTTAACAGAAAACAACCGACAGAAAGAAGACACAACCTACACAATGAAAAAAAAAAACTTTGCAGCTACTCCTCAGAGAACAAGTATGTAGAACAAAACTCAAAAAAATCTGACCTTCTCCCAAACAAAAGACTCAATAATAAATGTGCAAGTGAAATGAATGGACACTGGCCAGAAGAGGTATAACTGTCAAATAAATACATTTAAAATTCTCAACTTTTTAAAAGACCATGAGATTCCATTTAAAAGACCATACTCTAGAAAGCATAGCTATCAACAAGAAATGAAAAAAAATTCTGGCAAGACTATAGGGGGAAAGGAGCACTTCTACATTGTTAGTGGGAACATAAATTAGTATGGCCACTGTAAAAAACAGTACAGTGATTCCCCTAAAAATAGAAATTCCATTTGACCCAGCCATTTCCCTTCTGGGTACTTTTCTGAGAGAGTTAAGGACAGCATATTATAGTGGTATATACACACTCATCTTAATAGAAGCACAATTCCTAATAGCTAAATCTTGGAAGTGGCCTGTGTGTCAATCAACAGACATATGGATAACGAAAATGTGGTGTTGGGCCAGGAGTTTAGTTCAGTGGCATAAGTGCCTGCCTGGCAAGCGCCAGGTCACCAGTTCAATCTCCGACACAAAAAAAGACTGGTGTTTACACACAATGAAATAAAACTCTGCTATGAAAATAAACTTGCATCATTTGTAGGAAAAGGAATGTGCTTTAAATCCATACTGTTCAGTGAAGTAAATCAGATATACAAGCTCAAGTACTGCATCATTTCTCTTATATGAGACACCCATAACATACATAAATTGTAGAGTAAAATAAAAAGATCACAGAAAACAGAGTACAGATCTCTCACAAAAGGAAAGGGAACCAAGAGATGTAAGGAGGGGAGAAGAGATTTAAACAAAGATGATTAGGACATGTCCTGTGCATGTACCATCTCTCCATGATGAGTGTCACTCATTGTGTACTGCAAACATCCAGATGGTTCCAGCTCTCATTTTAATGACTGCATTAACTTGAGTTAAGGGAGTATTTTTCTCAAGGCTGATACAAAAACAGACAACAACAAATATTGGCAAGAGTATACAGAAAAACTCATCTATCACTAGTAGGAAACAAAATAGTGAAGTCATTTTGAAAATAGGTTGATAGTTTCTTAAAAGTTAAACATACATTTACCATATAAGCCAGAAATCCAGAGAAATTAAAATTCATATGCACACAAAGACTTGCATACAAATGTTTGTAGAATTCATAATTTATAATCACCAAAACTCAGAAAAAAGGTAAAATCATTCAGCTGGTAAATGGATAAAATGTATATATGTACAATAAGATATTGTTCACCAATTTTTATTGGAACAAATTATTGATACTCACGTGAAGGTTGGTCCTCAAATATATTATATTAAATGAAAAAGACACAAAACAGCACAAAGCATTTGATTTTATTTATATGATATGTGCACAACAGCAAGTCTGTGGAGATAGGTTTGTGATTGCCTGGGGCAAGAATCAAAACCAAGATTAAAGAAAATAGTGAATGAGCAGCAAATAAATAAAATGGATTTATGATGATAATTGCACATTTTGATAAAGTCATTTTAAATTGTTGAGTTGTAAACTTTGCATAGGTAAATTTTATAATACACAAAATGTCCCTTAATAAATCGGAAAAATACTTACACTCTTTGAAAGAGAAAATTTTACAAAGTTCAGACAAGAACATACAAGCACCCACAGAAATGACACTCAGAGAACAAAATGAATTCACAGAAATACAAACATTTCAAGGAAAAGTGAAGCAATCAATAGTTTGTAACATAAAATGATAAAATCTCTAAGAGTGCCAGAAAAAAAAAAACATACATAGATGTGAAAACTAAAAAAATCAGTGAATTGGGCCCAACATTTGAAAAGTAGTTGTTCTGCATAAGAGAATACAGAAAAAGAAGAGAGAAAACATCAATCAAGTAATTCAATAATTTGTCAGAACCAAAAGACGTGAGGTGACAGCCAAGAACAAGAGATGAACACAGACTACACTGAGTGTGTTGTCATTAGTGGCCAGTGATTTGAGAACCAAAGAATATTTTTGAAGTTTCCTGAGAGGACAAACAACAGAAGAATGCAGAATGATTGTGATTTGCTCAATAGCAACAAAGAAAATTAGAAGACAGGGTTCAGAATTCTGAAGGAAAATTGTTTTCATTTTAGGATTTTATATCGTCAAATCGTTAACCCACTGTGGAGATAGGTAAACATATTTTCAGACATGCAAGTTTGCAAAATATTAGCTTCCTGTGCAGCTTTTTTCATAAAGTTACTTATTGATGTGCTGTTTGAGAGTCAGACAGTACATGAAGAAAGAGAGATCCGACACAAGAAAGAAGCAAAGAGAATACTTGGGGGTGATATTGGGGAATTTCAAGACTACACATATACGCAAGTTATAGAGGATAAGTAGTTCACCTTGGAAAATGTCAAAAGACTGGGAGAGTCTTCCTAAAGAAGATAACATTGACTTTTTAAAATATACCCAACTTCTTAAAAGCAAAGTTAGACAACCAGTAAAGAATTTTCAGCTAAATTTAATGACAAATATAAAAGGAAATATAAGAAAGTGATCATTTTAATTCTAACAAAACCTGAGAACTGTTCAAGCAGGACTTGAAAAATAATCATAATTTATTAATCATCTAAGTGTTGAATAATGTTTGCTGAGCCATAGCACTTCAGACGACATAACTGTAATCTAAATTTTTATCTGGCTGGTGAAGGGCTGAAGTGATGCATCTGAATATCTGAGGAGAGGAGAAAAAGAAAACTACAGCCACAGCTTGAACAGGGAAGAAGCAATAGAAGTTTCTACTAACACACACACACACACACACACACACACACACACACACACACACACAAAGGCCTTTGCTAACAGGGAAAAGAGTAGAAAAGGAGAAGAGTTTTCTAAAGAAAACTTACAGAATTCTCTATATGCAGATATAACTTGCACAAAATCAAAAAATTTTTAAAGAGTGAAAAATAACAGAATGCTAGTCCTGGTAATTTTTCCCTCTCCACTGAATTATTGGTGTTGTCCAGAAAACTTCCTAGTGATATTGTAGTTAAAGAAGAAAATGAGGAGTTGCTATCAGGAGCCAGGAAAGTGTCTTACTTAAGCTAATAAGTAACTATCATCATAAATATATAAATGGAATTATTTATTTGGTAATTATTGTTCCAATCTCTAGAGATGATTACTTTTTTTTTTTTTTTTTTTTTGTCTTTTTCCTTTTTGTCGGTACCGGGGATCGAACTCACAACTGCCTACTGGCAAAGGAAGGCGCTTATGCTGCTGAGCTAAATCCCCAGCCCCAACTTCAACTTCTAAGCTAATACATTCAGCTATATTTCAAAAAACTCTTTTCTTTTAAATTGACATAAAATGATAGATTCCAGAAATGGAAGGGAGAAAATTTCAATCAAATAATTTCTCAGACCCGAAATATTATTCAATATTAAATGAAGAATATGCACTTGTCTTGCTCACATCCATGGTCAGTAAAGTGGGGATATCATTAAACATGGGGTTGTTTTCTGTCTGTTTACAAATGAAAAGTTCAGGATGGCTGGGTTTCCTCATCAGCTGGCTAAAGAAGCCTTTCCTTGTCCCTGCGGGCTGTATAAGCCAACGGTCAGTTTAAAGACTATTGGAGTGAGAAATTACATGTTAGACCTCTTTCAATACTGGACTGTAAAACTTTAAGTAGGTGCATTGTCTGCTTCCTACCCAGTAGAAATTTTTCTTGCTTTCCAAAACTTTTTTCTGTTAAAGCATTTCTACAAACTCCCTCAGTCAATATATATATATATATATATATATATATATATATATATATATACATATATAATGTCTGTGTTATTTTTGTTCATCTGGAATGCCTAACTCAGATTTTTATTTTGTGACTTAGACTTAAGAAAGATAGATCACGTGTGCTATTTGGGATAATCATCATAGAGGCAAGAGGTTGTTCTGCTGGTCAGTCTCTGCCATGGCAGGTTCAGCTAGTGCCAAGCGTTAGCAAGGTTGGAAGACCCGAGAGAACTATTAGTAACTTATGTGTTGATCTAGCCCCAAAACAACCTTGTGTCACCTGGTCTAAGGTTTTTCTTGGCTCCAATAATCTTTTCTTCAGATCCTCCTTCACATCCATGGTCTTTGTTGTCACAAAACATTTAGAGCTTCCTAACACAGAGACATCAAAATATTCTCATCCTGAGGACTACTATGATACTTTTATTCTGGCATGTAACTGACCTCATCAAAACTTCTTCTCCAATTCTTAATGCCACCCTTACCAAATGTGCACATCTTGAGCCACCATTAGATCATCATCTTCAAAGTTATCTCAACTGCTTCCATCTACCTGACAAGCCTCTGCCTGAATCCTTGTGTCAGCCTGTTCTGTGCATGTATCTGTGGCTGAGTTCTACCAAAGGAGAACACACAAATTATCTCCTTCTGTTAGGGCCGACGCCGCAGGGAAAGAGACCCCAAGGACTCAACTCTTGGTGAGGAAAAAAAGTTTATTTCCATGCGCATGGGGTCCCTCAGGCAAACAAGTGCAGAGGGGCCCCGAGGGGAATTTGTGCAGGGTTTTTAAAGATACACGCAGGAGGCAAGCAAGTTTACAGAAGCAAATCGCATTGGTTAATTCTGAGCGGCGCAGGACCTGGCTAATGCTAATTTGAGGGTCTGGGGCTGAGTAACCATGGAGACCGAGGGTCTTGGGTTGACCTTAGAGTGCCAGGTGCTCCCTGGTCCTGTTTATACAGTACATTCTTTTTGGCCCTGCTCTGACTATCTCCTGGGAAAGGTTTAGGGAGTGAAGCACTCTTTACTGCTCTGTTCTGAGAGCTCCGGGGAGTTAGGGAGTCAACCCTTTCATTCCCTGCTCTGGGGAGTTAGGGAGTTAACCCTTTCATTCCCCGCTCTGGGGAGTTAGGGAGTTAACCCTTTCATTCCCCGCTCTGGGGAGTTAGGGAGTTAACCCTTTCATTCTCCGCTCTGGGGAGGGGGTTGTAGCAGGGGGGTCGACTCTCACATTCCCCCCTTTTATTTCTCCAATGACTTTTAATCCTAAAAGTCCTGTATAGGTAAGGGGTCATATTGTTGACGTAGCACCATAACTTTTACCTGAGAGATCTGAGCCCTTACAAACCGGGTTACTCGGTTAATGAGGCAAGGGGCTATAGCCATGACTATAATGAATCCGGCCAGGGGTCTCAATAAAGGGAGGATATAGGGCAGAATTGATTCTCGGAAAGAGAACACTTTGGCTTTATTTGAAGGGGGCTCTTGAGATCTGATTTTCTCTCTCAACTTTTTTATTGTATCTTTTACAATCCCAGTATGATCAGTGTAAAAACAACATTTTTTTTTTTAGTGCGGCGCAGAGACCCCCCTTTTTTTTTTTTTTTAAAACAAAAGATCTTTAACAATTGGTTTTTTTTTTTGCTTACAGGGGGACCAAAGCCGCCATGTAAGGTCGGCATTAATGTTATTAAAATCAAAACAAGCAAGCTAAAACAGTTAGTCAATTTTTAACTTTAAGGGTTACCAGTCTGTTGTGTAGTCCACTGAGTATGTCCCTCGTTGTCTGCTGTTTCCAGTGGCTTTACATGAGTGTAGTGAATCCGCGCAGTTTTTCCTGCTACCTTGATGGCAGTGGGGGTATTGAGCACCACGGTGAAAGGTCTTTCTCAGCGGGGTTTAAGGGAGTCACGGTGGTGACATCGAACCAAGACTGGAGTCCTTGAGGCCTTGGTCTCTGAAGGCAGGTCCAAGTGTTTTTGTCTAAACAGCTGGTGGATCCAGGCCAACACAGGTTGGAGTGTCTGTAGGGACTTAAGATTTTGATTAGTAATTTCAGCTAATTTGTCTTCTGACAATCTTGGAACCAATGGCGGGGGCCTCCCAAACATGGCTTTAAAGGGGGAAATTTTAGAAACATATGGGGTATATCTAGCTCTTAACAGTGCAAAGGGAAGAAGGCTCATCCAATTATTGCCAGTTTTTGAAGACAGCTTAGCTAAAATGTCCTTGAGACTTTGGTTCATACGTTTTATTTGCCTTGAGCTATGTGGCTGATAGGCACAGTGGAGTTTTAATTAATCTTTAATGTCTGGGCTAACTTTTGGGTGACTCGGGCTATGAAAGCCAGGCCATTATCGGACCCCATTGATAGTGGGAGGCCAAATCAAGGTATGATCTCATGTAATAGCCTTTTAACTACCACTAAGGCTGACTCAGACTTAGTAGGGAAAGCCTCTACCTAGCCAGTAAAAATGTTTATTAATACCAAGAGATAGCAGTGTCCCTGTAAATTAAGTTTTACCATGTCCATGAAGTTTATTTTCTAATGTTCTCCTGGAACAATTTTTTGATGTCGGGTGGTCTCCAACGCAGAGCTCTTGGCTGAGTTGACTAACAAACACTGTGGGCATCTGGAGCTCGAAGAGGTGGTCAGTTTGTAGAGTTTTGGAATAAAATACTGAGTTCTGAACAATTCTGTAAGGTGAAACAGCTCCCATCTTAGTGCCTCCAGTAACAGTACTTGTTTATCAGGTAACTGGTATTAGCCCCTTGGGGTGGGAGACTTTATTCCAAGTTGAGATGTCAACTGTAGGTCTTTTTTTTTTGTGTAGACTAGTTCTGACAAGGTCAGAGGACTAGTATCAGAGCAGTTACTTTCTTGGTTGACCCCTCTGATGTGGTTGTTATTTTTTATCTCTGGTTGGGTGAGCCTTGTAAGGAATAGCAACCCATTGAGGCCGCCAGACAGCTGCCAGCAAATCTAGAATCTGTGGAGCATTTTTAGATGGCTTCCCCGTATATGTACAGTAGCAAAGGGATGTCTTCAGTAAAAAAATGTTTACCCTCTTTTCCGTGGCTAGTTTTAGCCTCTCAGTCAAAGCAACAAGCTCTGCCTTTTGGGCAGAAGTGCCAGGCTCTACCCGCTTAACCCAGAGTACCTCCTTTTCGGTGGTCACTGCTGCCCCGGCCACTCGTTTGTCGTTTTGGATGAAGCTGTTTTCATCGAACAGTTGTTGGCATTTCCCAAAAGCTGGTCAGTAAGATCAGCCTGTAGGTTCTGCTGCAGTTCGAGGATGTCAGCACACTCATGGAGAGGTGTCCTTTGTTCCTCCGGATCATCATCAGGCATAAGGGTGGCTGGGTTTAAAGCTGAAGAAGTCTTGAATATCATTAACTCTGGGTCTAGAAGCAGGGCTTGACAGTAGAATTCTGGCATTTGAGAGCCCTTTTTTTTTTTTTTTTTTTTTTTAGGGGGGGTTTTGATAAGAGTCTCTAAACTGTGAGAGGTTACCACAGAAATCACTTGCCCAAAGCGAGTTTTTTTTTGTCTCCTTGAGTAACATTGTCACAGTAGCTAGTATTCTAAGGCAGGGGGCCATACTCCTGTCACTGGATCAAGTCTTTTGGAGAGGTAGGCTATAGGCCTCTTTTAAGGGCCAATGTCCTGAGTTAGGACTCTTTTGGCAATGTCCCTGAGTTTATCTATGAACAAGATGAAAGGCTTGGTAACGTCAGGGAGTCCCAGGGCTGGGTCCTCTGTCAAGGCCCGCTTGAGCTGTTGGAAGGCCTGTTTACATTTATCAGTCCAGTTCAGTGAATTTTGAGTTTCTCCCTTATGGGAGTCATATAGAGGCAAGCTTTTCAGTAAAATTTAGCCTACAGTATCCAACTGCCCCCAGAAAGTCTCGTCTGTTTTTTAAAAGTTTTTCTCATAGAGCAATTTTAACATCTTGGCTATCTTTTTGTAAATTTTTCAGTTCTCAAAGACCTTTTTGTGCTATCTCTATTAACTGGCTGAGGGGCATTTTCTTAAACCTCTCAAACCTTTGTAATTTTTGTCTAACATGTGGGGCCGACTGAGTTACAAAGAGAACAACTGGCAATATTGGGAAACCTCCTTACCTCTGGATGTCCAGTCAGGGTGGCACAAAAGGAGAACATGGTTTTGGCATTCCGGATCAGAGAGCCGGCTTCATCTGGATGGCACACTGTTTTTTTGTCCAAGGGTGTCACGTGACAGGCCATTATTTTATTAAAATTATATTTTTAACAAAAAGGGCTTTTTCATAGGTAACAAAATTGTGCTGTATAATCTCCCAGATGTTTACAGCGCATGTAAGAACTTGTATCTTATTTTTAATATCACCTATAATCTCATTTTAATGAAAACATTTTGCAGCAAAGTACAATCTTATGTATACTTTTACCAAAACTGATCTAATACTGTCAAATTCTGAACACATTTACTTTTTGTCAAACCTGTTATTTGTAGTACTATAAACCAAGACAAATAAAATTCACATCCTCTTGAGCCTTCTACAACTTACAATAATACCTCTCAAACTAAGCTTTAATCTTTTTCTACATTCTGGCATAGCCAGACACCTTTACTTGAAGACCACTCTCTTTGTCCCTCTTTTTACTATTACCAGTCAATTACCTTTTTTTCTCATTTCTCAGACAACATCAAAACTCTCAACAAAACCCTTGAAGTCACCTTCTAGTAGCCCAAAACATACTTATTTTACGTCTTTTTACCACATAAAAATGTTGTATTTTAAAAACAAAACTGTAACCTTTTAACTGGCTCAAATATAGTACCGCCTGGTTTTTACTTGGCAAAGTTGACATGACTCTTAACAACCATAGATATACATATATATGTGTACATGTTTACATTTTCACCAGAGAGAAAAAATACTCCTTTTAAAAGGCATGCCGAGGTTGCAAGCAATCAATTGAAGTCTTACATATTAAACAAGGTGCCACAACATTAAAGACACAAACAAAGGGAGCTTCTTGCATAGTTTGGTCAGCTAAAGGAAATAATTTTTCTTATCATGAACCTTGAATCTAATAAGCCATATGGATCCTGCAACAGAAATGGGCAACAAGCCCCTAAGTTAGTAACAAGTTTAAACAGGCAACCAAGGAGAGGGCGGAGGAAGGAAGGGTTTTACCCACGGTGGGGGCTTCTCCCTGAGGTCTTGCCATACCAAGATGTAGGTGACCCAGTCGGGGTGGCTCTCTCGTCCAGGGCGGAAGATGATGTTCTTAACTGCTAAGATGAGGGGAAGGTGGAAAGTCCCCTCTGGTGGCCAATCCACGGAGAATGTGGGCCACTCAGACGAGCAGAAAGTCTGCCATTTACTTTTTTAACCTGAAAGGAGAGATTGTGAGCCCTCTCTCGAACCTCCGACCAATGGTCGAGGGTGAGGGACAATGGGGACGATGTCATTTGTCCCATGGTGTTCTGAAGACAAAGAGTGGTTAGCGTACGCGCGACACAACAAATAACCGATCACAACAGTCACAACACACAGGACAAACAGGCCGGCCACCTCACTCTCACGCATTAGTTTCACATCAAACGAGTCACCTTAGGGGGTGCCTCCAGATTGGCCCGGACGGACCACAGATTGGGAATGAAATTCCCCAGATTGGCCCAGACGGACCACAGATTGGGAATGAAATTCCCCAAACGAGTCACCTCGGAGGGTGTCTCCGAATTGGCCCTGACGGACCACAGATTGGGCCCCAAACCGATAGGAAAATCCTATCGCAGACGGTGAGTCACGGAAAACCGTGTGGGGCGTCCCCCGATCACCCAAGAACAGAGAACAGATAACAAAAACAGGTAACAAAAATTGCCCCTAGACCGGAGCCGTTTGGCTCGGGGCGTAAAATACCGGTAGATTGATCCTCAGAGTAAAAATAAGAAGCGACCGGTCGTACTCACCCACCGCAGAGCCGTTGAGGTCACCTTCCGTGAGACGTGCTATCTCGGTGGGGCCTCCAAGATGTTAGGGCCGACGCCGCAGGGAAAGAGACCCCAAGGACTCAACTCTTGGTGAGGAAAAAAAGTTTATTTCCATGCGCATGGGGTCCCTCAGGCAAACAAGTGCAGAGGGGCCCCGAGGGGAATTTGTGCAGGGTTTTTAAAGATACACGCAGGAGGCAAGCAAGTTTACAGAAGCAAATCGCATTGGTTAATTCTGAGCGGCGCAGGACCTGGCTAATGCTAATTTGAGGGTCTGGGGCTGAGTAACCATGGAGACCGAGGGTCTTGGGTTGACCTTAGAGTGCCAGGTGCTCCCTGGTCCTGTTTATACAGTACATTCTTTTTGGCCCTGCTCTGACTATCTCCTGGGAAAGGTTTAGGGAGTGAAGCACTCTTTACTGCTCTGTTCTGAGAGCTCCGGGGAGTTAGGGAGTCAACCCTTTCATTCCCTGCTCTGGGGAGTTAGGGAGTTAACCCTTTCATTCCCCGCTCTGGGGAGTTAGGGAGTTAACCCTTTCATTCCCCGCTCTGGGGAGTTAGGGAGTTAACCCTTTCATTCTCCGCTCTGGGGAGGGGGTTGTAGCAGGGGGGTCGACTCTCACACTTCCACTTCTGTGGCCTGCACAACTCAAGCAGGTGTGCACTATTCCCAAAAGCCTACTGCTCCGAATGTATTTGGTCTTACCACACCCCTTCTCCTCTCTGCAGACCCTTTCTGTCATCTTCAGCCTCTGTTTTCATTCTTTCATTCTTCCTGTGTTCTTCCAGCACACAGCAGAAGAACACACACAGCAGAAGAACACAGCAGTCAGACAGAAGCTGCAAGGTCTTCCTCCTGTGGGCGCCACTGACATCTGCAGTCGTGCTCCACACTTTTGCTGCTGCTACAGGAGTCCAGGAAAGACTCCTCTCAAAGGCGACTAAATTACCAGGGTTCTCCAGATACCAGAACCAGTAAGACTCATGAAGAGATTTATGTACTTTAGGAAATGGCTTATGTGACTCTGGAGGCTGGCAGTGGGGTAGGCTGCAGGCTGCAGGCTGAGCGGAGCCTGGGCTCTGGTCCCGGAGAAAAGTTCCGTGCTGCAGAGTCGCCCCTGCTCAAGGGAAGCTGGTCTCTTGTTCTGCTCTTTCACCTAAGTGAATGAGGTTTTTATAGAGGGAAATTCTCTTGACTCAAAGTCTACCAATTTCAGTATTAATTTCATTCAAACACCTGCTCACAGAAGCATCTGTAATAATCAGACCACATATCTGGGCATTGTGACCCAGCCAAGCTGACTGAAAAACCAATCGCCGCGCTGACCTTCTGCACATCCTCCACGTCTCTCCTCATTTACTCAGAAGCTACTCTTATCCCGGTCTCCAGTATCATTAAATTTCCCATCTCCACTGAGTCATTCCTGTGGTCAAACAAGCCTACTCCATACTTCTTATCTCAAACAATAAGCCTTCCTCGACCTCAGAGGCATTTGCCCCAATCCCTGCAAACATCCCCCCACCGTTTCTCTGCTCACCCGCAGTCATCGCTTCACCCCCTGGTTAGTGCATTTGACTGCTGCTTTGATCCCCATTATTCCACCCAAGATGCTTGTGAAACCACCAATGACTTCTTTATTTCTTCTTTGATTCATCCTAATAATTAATCATCTGCCCTTAAATTTGACTCATTGGTGCTTCCAAGACAGAGGCTGCCCATTTCTGGCTGAAATTCTTTCTTGTCTTGGTGTTAGGATGTGACATTTCTCCTGCTTCCCCCACCTCACTGTTGCCCCCCTTCTGAGTCTCCTTCCTAGGGCTACAGAGCTTCAAGGTTCCTTCCCGGGAGCTGTTCTTGATAATGTTCACATGCCCGCCTGGCAATCCCTCTAAGCCCACTGCCCTCTGGAGCCTGTGACGCCCAAATTTACACCTCTGTCACAACTACCTTTCCTGACTTCCAGGCTCAGATCTTACCTACCACCTTCCCCTTGAATTTCTAATGTGAGTCTCAAATTTTACATATCTAAACTCATCTTCCCAATTTCAGAAAATGATATCAACAGCTGCTCAGGTCTTGAATAAATAAAATGAATATAATTATCCCTGATTCTCATCCCAGTATCCAATATAATCACAAGTGTTATAGGTTCCTTTCTAAAACTTAGCACTTCTTTATCTGCAGCACACAAACACATCTTGTACACAGTCTTTGTTCAAACATTTCCTTAACAAACTGAATGAATTGCTCTCAAATTAATGTCTTCAGCCTAGACATTTTTTCTGGGCTCTATCTGTGTACTTGAGTCTCCCTAGAGTCTCTACAAGATGCTTTTAGGGTTGTACCAGCTGAACACATCTAAAAGACTCCGGCCTGGGGAATACCCCTTCCCAGATCCAGTGCGGCCTGTGATAACTCAGACCCCGGTATAAAATCCAAGGAAGCAAGAAATTAAAATTTAGGGAGCAAAGGCTTTATTAGGCCAGGCCTGGTGAGGAGTCTCTGGGAGCCAATTTGAAGACTGCATACCTGACAGCTAAAAGTCAGGGCTTTTATCTTGTAAATCCACAAACAGCTGCTGGTCACACAATGTAAGGAAGGGGACGGGGGTGTGGCACAAACAGAAACATTGATTACACATCTTGGGAAGAGCAAGATCAGGTAAGGGTTGTGTTAACAAGTCTCCCTGCATGCAAGCAAGTTTAGATAAAAAGAAATCTTGTTTTTCCTAGCAAAGAATAGACAAGTCTAACAGCAATTAACAACCTTAGTTACCTTACTTTAGCACCACAACTGTTCTATTTGTAGAGGGCAACAATGGTTAACATATCAATTAGGTAAGATTTTACAATTCTTTACACAGGAGAGCATTGATTAACATATCAATCCTTTACCCAGAGGGAAAAGGAAAACACACATATACAGTAAGGCCAAGTTACTGGTATTGCTATGATACAAATGAAGCTATTTTTGTGAAGAATAGTACAATCTAATACAATCTAATGCAATTAACACAATTTGTAACGGGCCACCGGGTAGGGAAGGGGGTTGTCAGGAGCTATTACCTCAGGCCTTTGTTTTATGGCCTTTTGGGAAGTTAAAACTTAACCTAGTTAGATGTGAAGGGAGAAGGGGAGGGGAAACAGCAGGTGGCACTTATACAGAACAGGCTTCGGCGCGATAGTTAGGGGGGCTTAGGTTATAACAGGCCTTTGCCGGGCACCACAGTGACCACACCTTGCAGCAGCCTCGCCCTGAGATTTGAACCATAGCACCCTGGACGCTGCAATGGCTCAGAGCTGGCTCCCTGTTTCAGACAGCCCTGCTGCAATATGCTCTCTGCTGCTCAAAGAGCACTCAGGCAAAGTGCACCTGGCCGTCACTTCCTTGCTGCTAAATGGCTCCAGCTTTCAAGGTGACGTCTGAGGCCAGCTTACTAGAAGGCTCCAGCCACGTACTACACCCACCCCTTCAGCATCACCATTCCACTCCCTCATGTGCACAGTGGCATCGAATGCCCCAGTCCCCTACAGAGCACTCTTCACACCCCTGGCCTCTCAGCCTCTTTGTCCCCTCCTGACCCAGCTGATCTTGTTGAAGAGCTCCTCAGGATCCTCTCCTCCAGGAAGGTGTCCCTGGTTCTGCAGGTTGGTGAGATCCCACATCGGACCTGCCAGGGCTTCAGTGTCCCCGTGGCTCTGTGTGCATCCCGTGTCCATGGTGAGCTCCATTAACTGCTGCATCCTCTTACGCAGCTCCCAGCTCAGCACGTAGCAGGTACTTGGCATGCAGTAGGCACGGAATTGGTCAAACAACCTGCTGACCATGAACAGATAGATTGAGGAAGCTGTTCTCTGCACTCTCAATATTAGATAATGCTGAAAACAAGGAAGGAAGTATACCGGCCCTGTCCTTTAGATTTCATATAAGCATGGAAGGGAAAGAGGCCTTGCGGGAAGCTCTCCCAGAACACACACACTGCCATCCACGGATTAGGAGACTTTCTAATAGAAGGCCAAAAGCTTTCTAGAAAGCGACACAGTCAACTTTGTATTTAAACAGAAATTATTCCCATAAACTGACTTATTTTGCATATTTTTATTGTCCTAGACACAGTAAATGATTCATTCACATAAACAGACTTGTAGAAAGTTTATTATAGGCAGATTCTTTATTTATATCTCATTATCCTACTTTAAAAGAGCCAGAAACATTCATGTTTCATCAAAGAAAATGAAGAGGACAACTGAGGAATTGTGTGGTGAGGGAACTGGCATAAAGTTTCATAAGTCAAGCCAAAAAATACCTTTTATTAAAAAAAAGCATCATATATTAGCTTGCATTATTTGAATACATTAAATCTTTGAAAAATCTTTGAGGGCCAGGTCGCAGCTCCAGGCACAGCACTTGCCTAGCATGTTTTGCAAATAAAATAAAACAAAAACTATGACAGCAGAGGTACAAGTTATACCAAAAAAATCACTTTTTTTTTTTTTAGTTTTGGAAAGCTTCGCAACATTTTCTTACACATTTTGCATTCTTGTTTCCTTTTGGCAAATACTAAATGTAACTTATTTCCCAAGTATTTTCTGTGCTGGTGTGGCCAAAGGCTGTCTGCAAACATAAGAAGTACGGGGGAGGGAAGACTTAAAAATTGGCTGCATAGCATAGTTTAAATTAAAACCTGAGTCCATTCCTTGACAAACTCAAGTGTTTCCTTCTTAGACACTTATTGCGTGTTGCATTCTGCGTGTGTGTGTGTGTGTGTGTGTGTGTGTGAGAGAGAGAGAGAGAGAGAGAGAGAGAGAGAGAGAGAGAGAGACTGGGAATTGAGCCCAGGGCTCACTACTGCTGAGTCATACTCCCAGCCCTGTTTGTTTGTTTGTTTGTTTGTTTGTTTAGAGACAGGGTCTTCCTAAGTCCTTCAGTCTGGCCTCAAACTCATGATACCTCTGCCCCAGCCTCAGTGTGATTAACTCTTACAAAAATTGCCTGTGACAGTGGCTGTTTTCAGAGCCTTCTCAGCCTGGTGAGTGAAGCAGACTATTACCCAAGTGCCCACACCATGGGGCAGCCTAAGCTGAGACCAGCAGTGGGAGACAAAGGTGCTGGCTGGGGGCCGTAGGGAGCCAGCGGGAGCTCCTCCAGGGCTCCCCCAGGGAGAGGGGCCTGGGCTCTGTGATGGGCCCACACCAAAGTTTACTTAACAACTGCATTTCCTGGGGCAGCCATTCTAAAAATAAGTTGCACCACTACTTACTTAGTATTGTTTTTAAATGATTCTCTAACATGTAAATGCCCACTTTAGCTTCCTGTGAAGCAAAAATATCCATGAAATTACACATTTGAGGTGCTAATCACATTCTTCCAATTTTATTAAAATAAAAGTAATATAATTATGTAAATGCTTGGCACCATACCACTTAAAATCGCCTCTCATACTACCAGGGGCACAGGCTCCACGTTTTGAGAAATACTGGTTTGCATTAATAAAGAGCATGAAAAAAAAGTAGCTTCTATATTCCCTTATTTTAACTTTCCAAATCCGGGGAAAGGTGGAGAAGGTGACGTTCCATTGAGAAGACGGCCCGATAAAGCAGCTTTGAAATCCCTGTTGGAGCGGGGAGCAGGCGGTGGCAGAAGAGTGCAGAGAGGCAAAGGCTGGGAGGAAGAGGGGGGACAGGCATCGCCCAGAAACAGCGCGGCTTGGAGGGAGGCGCCAGCCGCAGGCCTGCTTCACTGCCCTAAGGTGCCCGGAGTGGAACTGGCCCACCGCCGTGCCCCTCAGCAGTTCCCGCCCTTTTCCAGCACTCCGGACCAAGTGTGGGCCCCGGTTGCTGAACTAGACCGAGAACATACAGCACACACACAGGAAAACTGCGCATATTTAGGGCGCACAACCTGACTAATGTTCTGTGCACACTGTGAAACGAGGCCACTTCAAGCTGATGAACACCCATCTTTCCACACACTGCGCTGCACGCGGAAAACATGCATGTCGGGGCTCATTGGAG